AACATATTGGCCTGCGGTTTGAAAAGCCAACCGAACGAAGTTGGCTGTTCCCCTCCTACAGGAAGGTGTGATGCTAAACAAGAAGACTTTATGTAACGTCTCTTTTTCAGCCTTTTAATCATATAAAATGTTTTGATGGTAACTAAAACAAACGGCTGCTTCCCAGCATCTTGGATTTTCTATTGTCAGTGTTTATTTGGGGAAATGGAATTCCACAAACGATGTTAATCTTCCAGATTGGGCCATTTTAGATTATAAACAAAGTTGCTTTGAAATCTTTTCTACTCATTGTGAGCAGCTTTTTCTGCCCATTGATGTTAGGGTCTTTCAAGCGTTTGCAGACGACGGGAGCAGCAGTTGCAGTGATTCACGCAGGTTTAGCTCACATTTGAATACAGTCGCAGCCCTCTCTTTCCAGAAGTTTCCGTTCAACTCCTTCACTCTGCCTGGTGTTTGCCTTTCTTTCCTTAAATTCTTTTTTTTATTTTTTTTATTTCCACCCTGGTTCCATACGCCACTGCTGTCCCCTGCTCCTAAACTTTTTTTTTTTTTTTTTCTTTCCTGTGCTTCTGTAACGCACTTCTTCTCCTTCTCATTATACCTCAGGACTGGGAGGAGGAAGTGACTAGGGTGGTTCTGGATCCTCATGGGAATAAAACCATTGAGCTCCCTTTCCTGTAACCCTTTCTTCATGAAAACAGTAGACTGAAGCCACATGACTTCTCTATTCTGAAGTTTATTAGTTCACTCAGGGTTTATTTAGCGTTTACTGAACGGCGTCATATACGTTCAGACAATGAAAAATACATAGTGCTGCGCACATGGTTGGCAGCTGGTTGGTCGTTTTTTTGGGGTCTTTTTTTTTTTTCATAGTTTTTGATTTATATGGCAGCCAAACTGAACTCTCGTTCTGTCGATTAAATCCGGAAAATCGTATCAGATGTCTATAAGAATGTTTTCTAAACACCAGCTTACGTTTTTTTTTTTTTTTCACCCTCAAAGCTATTCTGAAACTCAAAGCCAAAGACCAGGAGCATATTCTCTAAGGCAGTGTTTCCCAAACTTTTTTTTTCTGGAGACCCGTATTTTAAAAGTCACAAACCTTCGCGACCCAAGTCAGTAAACTCCTGGGAAACATGATGCGAGACGACCCAAAAACAAAACTCTTGCGACCCGCCTGAGGGCCGCGACCCAGTCTTTGGGAAAGACGATCATATGTTTCACTGAAAAAATGTAGCAAAAACAATATTTAATATAGCATAGATCTAGAATATTGTAGAACAACGAAAGTGATCTGCCTCTTTGCCTGTCTTCTCTCAGGATGTTATATGTGGACATTTAATTGATGGACTAAATAAAACAAAAAAGCTGTTTTCGAGGGTGTCGTTTGCTGGCTTTTACATTTGCAGCCATAAACAATCTTATGAAGGGCATCGTTAGTTCACATGTTGAGAGGCAGGGGGCGGAGTTAAGTGCTTCAGAGAACCTATGACGTGACTTTGTTATTTGCAAAAGCTCAGCTTCCATAACAACAGTGGGTGGACAGTGACAGGGCCTGGGGCTGCAGTTATTTATCCTTCTTCTCATTTAGCTACTGGGCTATTTTTGGCTATTTAAAAATAAATAAAATAAACACTAGTTAAAGTGGGCCTAAAATCCCCCAGTCTAAAAACAAAGATTCCGTGATGATTCATCATTGAATGAATTGACGTAATTCTTTTTACGTGTGATTGGTCAAGAGTAAACAATTTAAACGCGGCTAAATCCTGCAGATTACGCACTATTGATGTCATGGCTTCGACAGATCAACTGAAGAGTTGCAGCCATGTGTGTGTGTGTGTTAATGTGTGCGAGTTCTCAAGCCTAAGACTCCTGTGACTCTCTCTGGTGTGGGTGATTAAGGGCGAGGGGGGGTGAGGTCTGTCTGTGTGTGTGTTTTCATCTGTGCTGCGTGGGAGTCGGTGGGAGTCGGAGTTGTAATGTTCGGCATTTATCTTCCACAGGTTTTCACTGTCCACACTGAGACAGACTTCTGAGAGGAAGATCTGTTCACTGTATTCACTCGTCATCCTTCACGGGTTTTTTTTTTTTTTTTCAAATTAGTTTGAGGTTATTTATTGTACAGTAAGGCATTGACTCAATTCTTCAAACTGATATTTTTATGTCTAATACTTCATTTGATCAGCAGCGCTAGCCGCTCGGAGCGACTGGCATTTGTTCAACTTTGCACTCGTCTGCGTATCTGCATTCTGTCACCCCGTGGGTTCCAAATAGCACTTAATCAACTCCTGTTGGCTCAGGGACAGATGTCCTTGCCACATACACGTGGGTTCACGTAGTTGTTACATCTCACACTTTGTTCATACAAGCGAACCAGGAATAAACCTGTTGTTCGCCGGGACATAAAAATGTCAATGTAACCAGTAGCATTTGTTCAATAATTAAAAGTACAGTAAAAGTTAACAACAATTTTTGAGTCGTATTTTGCGATCTCCCACTCTCTGAACCGCAGGAGGTTCTATAACCCGGTTTATTGACTTGGACATCGGGTCAGATAATTGGACATAAACTAATATGGAGTCTAATACACCGATGACAACATGAAGACAAAAAAGTTCTTTGTAGGACTGTAACCTCTCAGTCGACCGATGGATTCATTGGTCGATACGATTCAAATTCTGATCGGTCGTTTTTGTTGTTATTTTTTTTTTTGAATAAATATTTTTTTGTGTTCATGTTATCAGGAGGAACCTACCATGTGCTAATAGTGTTTTCACTCTTTTGGAGATTTTTTGGTGTTCATGTTATCAGGAGGAACGTTCCAATTGCTAATAGTGTTTTCACTCTTTTGGAGTACACCAATCCATAGATAGACAGATTGAATAAGATACTATAAGGCCCAGGTCAGGTGGTTTGGTAAATATTTGTTGAATTTTGAGCATTTCATTTACCGTCAGGCCTCCTCTATCTACCTCGTGTTCAGTCAGACCGAGACTTTCTTTGGTCGACTGCAGCCCGAGTTGTTTTAGGTGTTTGTCTTCTGGTGAAATTCTTACATACTTGCCTTCTTACACTCTTGGCTATATTTATTTTTTTTCTGATCTAGGATCAGATTCTGATCCCTGGAATGATTTTTGGTCCTGGGAAAAATCAGTAACAAAGGATAAGGTCTTCAATGTGTCACAGAATCAAATGTGTAGACACACACACACACACACACACACACACAGTTGCTCCCTCTCACTCTCTCTCTCGCCCCTCCTTGCTGTATATTAAAACCAGCTGTGGACCCAGAGGCTGCATGAATGGCTCTTTGTGATTTGGCCCTGGTTCGAGTCCTAAAGGTCTGTCATCCCTCCACCCCTCCTCTTTCCCCCTCCACCCTCTGTTATTGGCATGACACACACAATATCCAACAATGACCTGAACAACAGCGTCTCTTGTTATGATATTATGTAATAGGTTAGGGTGTTCTCTGCTAACCCACCAACAAAATGTCCTCCCTTAGTCTTTGTGGTCCCGGACTTCTCCAAGGCGTGAGAATCAACAGAGGCAGTCATGGAGCTGTTGATGTTAAGGAGTCTCACATTAAAAAAAAAAAAAAAAAATCCCGTTCATACAAAACTGTATTTTGAATAGTTTAGAGGAGTGGGATTTTTTCTTGCAAATTTATACGGCGTTTTAATTAGACTTACGAACCCTTCGGGTTTTGTGAGGAAGAACTAGCAAAAGCAACACTAAACGGGGGGAAAATGGAATGAAACCACAGGCGGAGGCACAGGGGAGGTAACTCGGTTCCAGTACAAACAGCTGTGCAACAAGAGTCAGCTGCGCAATGCAGATCAGCAAGGGAAAAAAAAACAAAACAAACACAAGAATTTGTCGGTATTAGAGATTAGTTGAGTATTATTTTTTTCAATCCACATAAAAATCTGTTTTATGAATCTCATCGCTTATGAATCCCTCTTCATTCAGGGCGCATCCTGTCTTCATGTCAGATGGGATATTCCGCAAGAGGTGTTTTTAATTTATTTATAAAAGGCAAATAAGGAGAACGTTTGCACTGAAAACTGAGAGCTACTTCGAGGGCACGAGTAAAACGAAGAGCTACTTGTTTGCTAATTGACTTCCCTGAACAATAAAAAATTAAAAAAATTAATGCTGCTTCGTTGAGTTCTGGGACGTACAATAGAATATCACTGCAAGCGTACCTGATCGGAAAAGCACAGTAACAGTACAATTTTTGACCCTCTTGTTGACTAGTTTCGTTTTAAGACCATCACCTGCGGGCACCACGGGTACCACGTTGGTGACCCCTGGTGAGAGTAGTGTGTCTTACACTCGAAAGATCCAGGTTTTGAACAACATTGAGTATCTATCCACAAGTCACACTCATGCTAATATTCATGCTAATACTCATGTTCACACATTGAGCACGAGTATGACTTAGTAAGTTCCGGGGTTGCAGTCCTAGTTATCACCCAACTGAGGGTTTACGTGTTTACTGTATGTGTTGTTTGTTTTGTGTTGATGATGGGTTAGTGATGCAAGAAAAAAAACACCACATGTTGCCCAATCGTGTGGCAGGGAGGCTCGCTGGAATCTGGAATCCATTACAAAGAGCATGGAGGAAAGAATGAGGTGTGGGGAGTAAACAGCTGGAAGAGAACAAGATATTCTGTACTGGGATCACCAGAACTATAAACTGCAGTAGAAGGTCAGGAATCCAGTGGCATCTCGTCAGGGCATATTATTTGTTTGTCGCTCGCAGCCACAGGAATGTCTCTTTGTTTTTTTTTTGGGGTTTTTTTTTTTTCCCTAACCTGTTCTTTCTTTTAGGCGGGGGCTTTTTCTGTAACATGTCATAAGTCTGTTTTTGTCAACACAATTACACACCTTCGCTTTTAATGATTTCCCACGCGGGTGTTGAATGATTGTCTGAATGCTTGACAGTGGTTGCCAAATGTAATGTCCTTTTTTTTTTTTCTTTCTTTCTGTAGCTGCTGCTGACTTCAACAAAAAAAGAGTGAGTGTGAAGCCCTGGGGGGACAGAGCCAATCCATCCTTGCGTCACGAGCAGCTGGTATGAATTGCAAATTCAATCTTCTTTTTTTTATTTTATTTATTTCCAAACCATTCACCAAGCATAGGAAGACAGTCAGTGAAGCTGTGAAACGACTTCTTGACATGGTAGTACCGAGGTTTGAAGCATGACAAAAATAATTAATCGACTCAACAAATGAGTGAACTGACCTCAAACTGGGGCCTGTTATTTCAGATATTTGTCTTTGGGGTGGTCTCCAGTCTCTGATACCCGCTAATCTGAAGTGTCCACAGACTGAAATGTTTAAGATAAGGCATGAAAAGTGCAGTCAAAATAAATAAACCTAAGTCTTTCGTGCGTGCGCGACAACATTTACCTTCTTGTTCCTGCCTCCCTAGTTCCTGAAAATGTACGTTATTCTCCAGACGGTTTCCAGGACACAGTGTAGACGTGTAATTCTAGCAGGATGATCTGCATCGTACCCCCTAAGGGTCGTCTTAATTTAATAGCACAGAATGAAAATGGGGGGGGGGGGGGGGGGGGGGGGGAGGACTTCCTTTCGTATGGTGTGCAGCTGTGTAGGCAGGTGGTGGCTTCGGAAGGCATTTGCCTCCGAAGGAGCTGCCCAGGAAACTCATCGGAACTGCAGAGATTCCGAACCTTTAAGTATCAAAGCCATTGTCATTTAGCATGTAGCTAGCATACAGTAGGAACACTTAAAAGTGGCCATCAAAAGATATTTTTCATGCAAAATGGTACAAGTATATGATTTATTTATTGGTATTTAATATCATATTTAATGAAATATAATTTTACAAAATAACTGTTTCTGTATTTTTGGATTTTCAAAAATCATCCATCGAGTGGGCCAGATTGAACACCCTACTGGGCCAGGTCTGGCCCACGAGCCACATGTTTGACACCCCTGTTCTAGACCTTAACAGCACCTTATTCTGCAGCATCAAATCAGTCAGTCAGATGAAGTCAAGCTGGCTTAAAATGTTTACTGATTAAATGTATGCATGTGTTTAAAAACAAAACCATTCGGTGAAAAAAAAAAAAAAACTGTAGATTAAATTGACAAGACAGAAAAAAAAAAGTCTTGAAGTAGCTGTTCTGTCTGTGTCCCAGTCTGTGGGAACAACTGGTTTGATGATTCAAAGGCTAGCGCACACTGGTTTCTGCAAGATGTCATTTCAAAGGAACTCTTGTTTGGTAGCCAAAAGAGAGGGAGAGAGAGAGGGAGAGAGAGAGAGGGAGAGAGAAACCACTTTCAGTCGTGCACCATACACTTATGGGACACATGTAAACACTGGCAAACACCTCCGAAAACAACCAAAACCAGCCACTGATGTGGGCATTTTGACAGTGAGATTTAACACCCGGAGGAACAGAGAGAGATACTCAATGGGAAAAAATGTGTTTTTGCGGGCGGAGGTTTTAATTCCAACGACTAGGAGGAGCTCTGTTTGGGAATCTAGCGAGCAATCAGGTCCCAACATGGCGGTCTTCGTGTCTAAACCCAACGTCCAAACATCTACGCGGATGTTTGGACGATAAACTGCGGCCTCTAATTATATCTCATCAACTGTCCCCTGTCAGCGGCGCTGACCTCCACCCTGCTCTTTGTCACACACACACACACACACACACTTGTGCAGCTGTTCTTTTTGAAAATTGCACGGACTTTCATTTATTTGTGCAGCTCAACGAGACCTAATCCCTGACCCTCGCAGGTTCTAGTTTTATCCCCCATGTCTAATACAATTCTTAACGTCACCCTAACTTTAACTAGAGAATAAGAAATAAGCTTTTGTCCAATGAGGACGTGACCTCCGTAATGACCGCAGGGCCTGGAGAAAAGAAAAGAAAAAAAAAACCCAGTAACAATGCCAGAAATCTCATTGGTTAAGTAGCTAAGAAATACAAACTCGCACAAACAGATGTACATAAATACACACACACACACGCACACTACGTACAAACACTCACCGCTTCGCACGTTGTCCTTCTGTTACCACATAGTGTGGCAGCAGATCAGTCAGTTCAATACTTTCATCCTGGACTGGATATAAACACGCAGGCACATGGCTCACTGAAGGCAGAAATCCCAAAGGTCTCTCTCTCTCTCTCTCTTTCATCTTTTATCAATCTATTACATATAAGTTTTTTTTACTATCTGCTTTTGTTCTTTTGTGATTTTTGGATCCCGCTAGAGTTCCGCCTATGTTAGAGTATTTCATCATACCAGTTTTGTATCTAAAAATCAACATCTGGACATCTGAGCAGATAAAGCTTTCTGTCCGTGTATTTATAAAGTTACACGCATTGCTTTTTACCTGCTAACCCAGACATGGGTAAAATAAGGCCCGGGGACCAAATGCGGCTCGTACAGCTTTTTAATCCGGCCGTCAAACTTTTCCAAATTATATAATTTATTTATATTGTCATTATACTTCTGCCTTCTGACTTCTTCTTCGCTAGTATCAGTCGATAATATCGCTTGCGTGATATTATCGGACGTCCCTAGTTAGAAACAATTATATATCACTTTTTACGTTTACTTTCACTTTCATTTCAAAACTATTTTTAGGTCACATCATTTGGCGAAAACCAGACATTGCGTTATCTGGGATTTATTATCAGAGCGAAAATCCGATAACGATTCTTACCAATATTACATAATGACGCTAATATCAGCCGATAATATTGGTTGGACGATATTATGGGACATATTATCGGATATTATCATTATACTTCTGCCTTTTCCCTGCAATACCCACGTTTCCCCAGTAGATGGCGTAGAAAACGATAAAAGCATTTTAGCCTTTATGGCGTGACTTTTACATGTCATTTATCTTCTTTCGCACGAACGCTCCAGCTATCTGTTTTTAAGTTTTTGTTATATTAATTATTATTATTATAAATTTCATTTCTTGAATTGTTTAAGAGCACATACATTAAAAAAAAGAAAAATCACGGTTGCTTTAAATCAGTTTCTGTTGGTTCTGAGCAGGACAGTGCATGCACACAAAGTGATTTAATGTTTGACAGCGTGTCTGGCAATGGCATTCGGAGAGAGCAAGATAGGAGACCTTACAGTAGGACACTTGATGGACTACAGGCCCTTGACAAATACCACATCAGTTAAGTCAGTGTTTCCAGTGTCCTACTTTTTAGAAACCAGCAATCGAGCCGGGGGTCACTCGATTCAGAGAGAGAGAGACGCAGACTCCAATTTGAATTAAAAAAAAATAGATACTAACCCAAAAAAAAAAAAAAAAAAAATAAGTGCAGGTTTGTCGTCCAGACGTCTGATGTCCGCTCTTTGAGGTCCATGTGCTGTGATGATGTTTAATTGACTGAATCTGAATCTGAAGCTGGATTAAGTATCACGTTCTCCGTTCCCACACGGAGCAGTGAGCCCAGAAAAGCTCATCTCTTTTCTAAGACGACACACTATCCGAGGTAGTCTCTGGGACACGTGTCAAACTCAAGGCCCGGGGGCCAAATGCGGTCCGCCAAACTGTTTTGTGTGGCCCCCGCGGGAGCTTAAAAAAGCATTAGGTTAAGTCCATGCAGCAGAGTTTCTTAACCTAAGAAATTAAAAAGTTTTTTTTTTTTATTCATTGCAATGAACAATATTTGTAGCTTGAATAAATAATAAGCAATTGCAGAAACATATATTAGTCTGTTACGGAGTAGTAACATCCATACCAGTGATCCCCAAGGTGCTGAGCATTGATGGATGACTCTATTCTGTTTGTATCTGAATGATATTATTTTTAAAATCTTGTCAGATTATCTTTAATAATAAATGGCCCGGTACCAAATGACCTATGGACCGGTACTGGTCCTCGGACCAGGCGTTGGGAACCCCTGCTCTATATAGTCTTCCATTTACAACAGGCCCTTCAAGGGGAACTGTATCGCTGATGTGGCCCCCTGGTGGAGATGAGTTTGACACCCCTGATTTAAGAGAGAAGGAACCGAACAACAAAAGAAACCCAACCCCGGTTGTTCATGGAGACCTCGAATACATTAGCTTTGCTCTGAAATATGCATTGTAGTTTGTTTTTCGGTGTCAAAGTAATGAACAAGTGAACACAGAAGGAAAGAATGACAGGGAGAATGTGGAGCATTATGAGGTCTCCTGATCATCAGCTGATGTAGCGGGGGGGTGGAGGCACCAGAAAAACCCATGAGGAAAGAAAAACAGAGGAGAAAGAAAGAAAATGAGGAGGGAGAGAAAGAGAGAGAGAGTCTATCCGAGCCCTGATTTAAGAGGCAGAAGTTCGCAGCGCACATGATTCCTAATAAGGTTGTAAGTGGCAGTCTTAAAACCGTCCGTCCTGAAAAAAAGCTGCCAGGAAACTTCTCCTCCTCTGAACGCTCAGAACAGAAACAAACATAACGGACCGAGTCCTAGCCTGCTCTGAAAAGTATGAAATAAAATTAGAAGGAAAACGGGACAAGGGAGGGTGACGTAGTGAAAGAAAACTTTTGAGATTTTTGTTTTCTTGACCGTGATATGAAAAGAACGGAATAGTCATTTAGCATGGCTCCAAATATGAGCCACATGGAGCGGAGTGTTGACATCTGTACGGAGTGAATACAAGTCTAAGGACAGCGGATTACATCAGCTCACATTAGCGGCAACGATTTAATGAAGTCCTGATTCAATTTAGGTGAGGGGGGGTTTTTGGTACGGAGACCACAGAGAGATACTCCGCAAACTCCGCATGTGCCCGTTATGGTCATATCATCGCTAACTACTTTCAGGCTAGGAGGGCAGAGCTGTTCCATCTTCTTATTTTCAATTGCTTTAAGACAGTCTGAAGGTGGACATACAAATATGGTGCTTATCTAACCGTGAGGTCAGTGTAAAAATAAATGTTAGTAAATCTGAATGGAGCTGAATGTTATCAAAGAAAAATTGTAGCTCAAAAAATGGCTTAAGGATAGCGAAAAGTTAGACAACGAAGTTAGCTTTTATAACCTAAAAACTTGTTATGTATCACTTGGAAATTTTCTAAAATAGAGCAAAACCTTACCTAAATGAGTCAAGAATGTTGTAAATTAAATGTATCTGATGATAAATAAACTGAATGATCCCAGAAAATTAGCTGAGAAACGGCCAAGTATTTTTTTTTTAAATATCTCAGAACTACTCCGAAGTTTTGTGTAGTGAGACACATTGTAGTGAAATTAAACTTTTATATTAAAGTTAAAGATGTTTACAGGATCGAGAATGAACCACAAATTATATTTTATAGAATTTTTTTTTTAAACTAAACATAAAAGAAATTTGAAAAAGAGAAACAAAAAAAAAAATCCCTCAAATCTCATTTTCCAAGACTGGTATAAACTAGGGATGACTCGATTCAACTCTTTCATGTTCGATACTGATGATGCAACTTTCAATCTGCAGAAACCGATACCAATCCGATATCTTCTTTTGTCCTTTTCTCATGGCATCTCACGCTAAGTTAAGTTGAACATCATGTTCGATACTGATGATGCAACTTTCAATCTGCAGAAACCGATACCAATCCGATATCTTCTTTTGTCCGTTTCTCACGGCATCTCACGCTAAGTTAAGTTGAACATTTGATCTCCGGCTTCAGATCGGACGTTGCTATAGTTGTTACTTTCAATATTCGATCCTGAAACATCGAAACCGATACCGATCCTGAGTTTGGGATCAAGCCATCCCTAGTATAAACTTAGTCATTTCGATATATATTTTGTCAAATCATCTGGATGTGTAATAACCGTTTTCTGAATGTGTGTGTCTACAGGTTAATGACTGTTAAATAATCAACCAAAGACTCATGATGGCACAGGTGCTTCATATGGACCCTGGCTTCCCAGGTACAGATACTGATTTTTTTTTTTCAATTTTAAAGTTCTAGTTGTAGTGTTCTAGTGATCGCTCCCCGCAGTAGATTTACATTTGTTTAATCTTGATTTCCTTTCTACTTTAACTACTTTTACATTTGTTTAATCTTGATTTCCTTCCTCCCCCAGAGAAACTCAACAAACTTGCTCCCCCCTCCATGCACGGCAAAGAGCAAGAGGCACCTTACTCGGTGGAGACCCCCTATGGTTACCGTCTGGACCTGGACTTTCTCAAATACGTGAATGACATCGAAAAAGGGAACACTATCAAGAAGGTGCCGATCCAACGTCGGCCCAGATACGGCTCCCTGCCCAGAGGCTATGGCTACACCGGCTCGTGGTGGACGTCCACGGAATCTCTGTGCTCCAACACCAGCATGGACAGCCGGCACTCCTCCTTCTCTTACTGTGCCCCGGGCTACCACGCGTCGCAGAGGCCCAGCTTTAGCACTGCCAGAGTGGAGAAGACCTTGATGGACGCACGCAGAAAGCTGGAGGAGGAGAAAGAAGGCCGCCGATTCTCCAATCTGGGCAGCATGAACAGCAGCGTCGCCGGCTCCAACACCTCCATCAGTAGTGCGCACAGCTTCAATCGGAGTCAGAGCGGAGGCGGGTCGTTTACCCCGATAAGTTCTGGCCTGTCGACGCCAGTTACCCCAACACCAGCCCACCTTCAGCATGTCAGGGAGCAGATGGCAGCGGCTCTCAGGAAGATCCGAGACCTGGAGGAGCAGGTGAAGACCATCCCTGTGCTGCAGGTGAAAATCTCTGTGCTGCAGGAGGAGAAACGACAACTCAGCGTCCAGCTGAAGAGTCAGAAATTCCTGGGCCATTCTCTGGGTTTTAGCAGAGTGCGTCCCAGAGGAGAACTGTACATCGACATCCCCGAAGAAGAACAGAGCGCCGGCGCAAAGAACAACGGCAACAACCCCGGAGAACCCGTTTCCGTCACTACGCCCGACGGCGCCAAACAAGACTCCGGGTGTGAGATTGAGGAGACGGTGATTGTGGGCGGAGCCAGACCAGACGCAAAGCGGGAAGTGCGCACCATCGGAGTGGGACCGGAGCAGTCCAGGGGCAGCCGTCAGGTGGGAGTCGGTGTTCGGGAGGAGGACCTCGGGCTTCTGCCGGAGACGAAGGCTCTCAGGAATCAACTGGGTCAGCTTGAGGGCAAGCTAAAGAGGACGATGCAGGAGCTACAGGCTGCTCAGCAGCAGCAGGCGGCGTCGGGCCAAAGGTCTCCTCAGGCAGATCACCCACTCATAGCAACCAGCATGGGCTGGCAGGAGTCGCAAGACTGCAACCTGCACACCCTGGTGAGCTTCACACAGGAGCCCCAGCGGACAGAACAGAGGACTGTGGGGATTCAGGTGTACACGTCAGAGCAGCCCACCGTGGTGGAGGTGGGAACGCTCCTGCGGGCAGAGACCTGCAACTCCACCTCTTCGCAGCCAGCAGGATCGGAGAGCAGTCACAGAGGACAAGCTGAAAGATTGAACTCAGCTGGTAGAGTATCAGAAATAACGATAGTTTTTACAAACACGGTTTGATATTTGACGTTTTCGGTGGTTCCCTTTAGTGAGTTAAAACTTCTGTTTTCAAACAATATCTCCTCTTATTTGGTTACATCAACCGTCCTCATTACTCCCCTCAGATGACGGCCCTTTTTCCCCTTCTGTCTGGCAGCTACGTTTCCAATATCCTTAGTCCAATAAATCCTCCTCTAAACTTCTAACCCTCAACGTTTATCTCCAGAGGGTGTAACCCCGGCCTGCAGCTCTGCCGCATCGGTGCCTGAAATATCCACAAAATCAGTCTTAAAGTATCCTTCCCGGAGACTGTATTTAGTTTTGTATATAAAAACAAGTTTAAATGTACAGTATTTCACAATATTCTAATTGAAAAAGTATTTCTAAATACCTTTAATAGAGACCAATAAAGTAGGTGGGTTCCATAGAATTTCTTTTTTCTTTCTTCGGAATTTAATCAAATCATTCGAACGTTTTCCAAACGTTTTCGAACTTTTCAAACAAAGATTGATTTAGTTGTGGATTTTACAATGAATATCTACCAATTAATTGCAAATGTCCAAGGTCTAAATGTAGTTAAAAATAACATAACTTTTTTAAATATTTTTTTTTAATTTTCAAACTCGTACTTCACCACCTAACTTCCACGAATATCTACCAATTAATTGTAAAAGTCCAAGGTCTCAATGTAGTTAAAAATAACAAATAACTTTTTTAAATATATTTTTTTTATTTTTTAAACTCGTACTTCACCACCTAACTTCCATATAAGTTACATACTACATATACGCCCCAAATTTTTTTGTTGATTGTTTTTCTGTCCAACCTGTACGAGACTGATTTTTTTTTTTTTTCCCCGCTCCCTTAGACGTTTCCACTAAGGTACCCATCGCTGTCAGCTCTAAACAGGTGCGCAACGTCCTCAGGAGCGAGCTGTCCACGTCGATGCCCGTGGCCGCTCCCGCCGTCACTGTAGGAAAGTCCATCACTCAGATTAGTTTGATGCCCTTAAAGGGGGCAGATAGCCACCAGCGAACCACTACAGAGAACGTCCAATCACAGGAAAACGCTAAAACAGGTAACGTCTATGTAGCATCCCAGCTTTTTTTTTTTTTTTTTTTTTTTTTTGGTCGTACCAAATTTCCTGGCTGGTTTGTATGACTGGTTGTGTTTCGCAGGCTCGTCTCCTCAGTCTCTGAGATCAATCATGAAGAGGAAAGCAGAGGGTGAACCAGGCTCCCCTTCCACGAAGAAAAACCTCCAGTTCATGAGGGTCAACGGAGGGTAAGTGTTCTTGAAAGTCATTGAAGACCATCGGTCAGTCATTGTTGTGAGATCTGAGTATGTTTTTCTCTCTATCTTTCAATATTTACAGGTAAAGAGTAATCATTTCCTCTAGGATAGTGATGGTTATTTATGTGTGTTTGTAAAAATCCAGAAACACAGAAAATACAAAATATATTTTTCAAATCACTTAATCACTTATAACAGATGAAATCCACCAAAAAGTATATGTTGTTTTAAAAAAGAAAATACAGGGGGTCCTCCAGTTACGTTGGGGTTCGGTTCCTAGCGGCGACGTAAACGGGAATTTTCAATGTCGAAAATATGTAGAAGAGCTGAAGAAGAGCTCGTTGTCTGAGAAACTATTGCTTTTACATGGAGTTAGTCACAGCGAATCGCGATGAAGAACACGCGGAAAGTGGTGTGCCGTTGAGTTCTTTATTGTCATCTACAATTTGCTCTGCCAAACCATGTTGTTGGGAGCCTTAATGAAGGGCAAAACTGTTCAAAACAAAATATGGCGTATCACCATCGCATGGGAGCCTTAATGAAGGGCAAAACAAAATATGGCGTATCACCATCGGATGTAAACAGAGCCGTCTTCCTCGTGGACATGATGGACGTAACAGCAAAACGCTGTCAACTGAGGACTCCCTGTATATAAAAAAACAAAAAAAAATTCTTTACTGAACTGATTGCTTTGCCTCGTCTCTGCTGCCTCTCAGTGCAGGACACAGTGACCACCACCGCGGTAGGAGAACAAGTGTTTTAAAACATTGCCACTCGCTTTGAGCCATCCATCTGTAATTTATTCATCTGTTTGAAGGATCTTTGCGCTAACATTTAGCACTTGCACATCTCAACTTAAGCGCTACTTTGTTTTATCATTTGCCAAGCTTCTGATCTCGCTATATTTTCTAATGCTTTTTTAGCGTCATTTGATTTTCTTTTTTAAGAATATGTTAAAAGCTTTCATCTTTAAGGACAATAACAGTGGGTTTACATTTGACATAAAATACAAACAACAGTTGTGTAAGTATATATTGGGTAGCAGATGTTAAAAAAAAATGTTGCAAAACACGAAATGCAAACTAACATTTAAATGCTTAAAGTTCATTTTTCGCAAGATATCTACCTGCTGTTTTTATTTGCCTGCAGCCAAGCTTCAAAGTCAATTGCCATTCAAGGTTGTGCATGTTTGTTATCAGCTATTTAAATAATTCCATGTCCCTGCAGTTACGAGTCCACATCATCAGAGGACAGCAGCAGTGACAGTTCAGACGAGGCCAGTGACTCCAGCGAGTATCACGAAGCCAGAGAGAAGCTTCCAGAATCAGGCGCCACACACCAGCAATCAAAAACCACCCACATTTCTCAGGCCCAGGAGAACGCTGCTTTACCTCAGCAAGCAGACGTCAAAGCCGACAATCCAGAGAGACGACAGAGTTCAAGCCGGTCTACGGCCGTTCATGCAAACCTGCCAGATAAAGACTCTCAGCCACCAGCAGAAGAAGCTGCCGTACAGGAATGTCCCTCCCAGCCAGCAGTCACTGACCCCGTCAAGACCCCGCCGTGTTCAGGAATGTCGTCGGCCTCTCCGGCGAACATCATCATGGGCCAGTCACAGGAAAAGCAGGCAGCCGCTGGGGAGGTGACCTCCACACCCCTGAACACTGAATCAGCTCCTGAACAAAACTCTGTCAGGTCTGAAATCCCCTCTTCTTCGTCACTGTCTGCTACCAAAACCACAGAGGTTAATGAGCAGCAGAACCAGCAGCAGCAGCAGCAGATGACTGCCAGGTCTGAGACCACGGTCGTCAACAGTCAGCAGGAGTCAAGGCAATCAGCTGACTTCAGCACCAAGGACACTGCTACAGCCAAACAAGTCAGGTAAGACTGTATGTCCAGTCTGTCCATTAGCTTTTAATGGACAAACTGCATATATAAATATAAATATATATATGTAAATATCAAATAAACATATACAGACACACACACACATTTCTATACATACTATGCTATAAATATGTGTATATATTTAAAACAAATATTTATATATATTTATATATATATTTATATATATATACACACACAGCCATATACAGACTCGACACATTCTACAAACCACCATTAAGATGCACAGTAAAGATATTCAGTAAATCTACCAGTGCTATGGAAAAAAAAAGTTTGAATTTTAATAGGATTTGAGTTAGATGTACTTTTCATACTCTTTGCAACATTTTTCTATATTAATAATTCCATTATCATTAACTCCATCCACCACACTCCTGCAATTATTTGTCTTTCTGTTCCAGCGATATATACAGAAAATATTTTGTCATACTTAGAAATGATCATATACCTAGAATCATCCTGATTAATCACAATGATTATTAACCTTGATAAACCCTTGGATTTTGTGTGTATATATACAGTATATATATATATGAGATTTACCTGCTGTGTGTGTATATACAGTATATTATCAAAGGGTAGCTGTGGATTTATTAATATTAATAATATGTATATATATATATATA